AGAACGGAATAAAACAACATGCAGTAAAAATGGTCGAAAAATGTATTTTTAAAAAATTGCTTAATTAACAACTTATAAGTACAAAGGGAAAAAGATTTAACGTTGTTGTCGAGCGATTTACTTGATCACTACCCTATCACAAATACATCATGATTTTAAGATAGTATTTTAGTTTCGATGCGGAACTGAGAAGTTAGTATTAAAATATATACACCGAAAAGTAACAAATCTTAAATCCCCTTTAAAATGTATGCTTACATGCTAACGTCTTAATAGATAAAGAAAAAAATTATAAAGGTAAAGAATGCGTGAGTAGATTGAATGCCATATTTTTCTAATTTGCAGTGCCTTTATGATCGAATCACAGACTGGACCTTCAGACGTCAGTTCGGTTTTTTAAGTACGATAGTATCAACAACTGATGTACAAAAAATTGTTTATCATTGGGCATTGTCTGAATGAGGTTTTCCAAACACTGTTGCTTACAAAATATTGTGTCCATACATAAATTCTTCTTCTTCTTCATAAACTAAAAAACTTAAATAAAAACACATCATTGTAAAAACAATACCCACTCAGATCCGCATCGTAGCTATAATAAGAAAATCGAATAATTATATTTAGGTACGCATTTGACGCTCATCAATATTTGAACTTAAGTCTCAACCCATTGCATTTCTAACTAACTCTTTTTTTTTTAAATTCAGTAATGATTTTAAAGATTAAGTCCAAATTGCATTGTACTTGAAAAAAAATGATATGAGCAACGGCCCGAGGTGTTGTTTACGATGTCGGAGACCGGTGAATTGCGACCCGGCAGTTTTCGATGGACGTATGAGTTGCGGCCCGTACAACCTTTTTTATCTTGAAACTTTTATCGCCAATTTAGTTTTACAGGATGATTTTTTAAAGAGATCCACTCAATATCTTATAGCCTATAGGATTTAATTAATTTTTTTATTTTTATTTTCGCATTGATTTTATATTATGTGATCTCGTTACTTTTGAAGTTATTAGAGTGTCAAAGTTAGGACAGATGAATTTTTTTCAACTCGATAATATAAAAAAAACTAAAATGACAACGACGGAACCGCTCATCGGCAAATAACATGACGAAATTTGACCAAAAAACACATTTTTGGGAGATAACTCAGCCAACCTCCCCGTGGTGTCTCCTGAGTAACGCTAATAGGCTAATAGAAAGTGGTAATTATTATGTGGCCACAATTCATACGTCTCTCTTCTAAACCCGGACCGCAACTCATACGTCCCTCTCATAAACCCAGGCCGCAACTCGTACTTGATTTAGGGATTGGGCCGCAACTCACCAACACCGGTTATTCTAATCCGTAGCTTTTTTGGAACAAATAAAATTCACCTAAAAGAACCTAAGATAAAGAAGGTATAAATACAATTTATACATTATTTTCATGATTGATATGCATCGTAACACAATAGTTGTGTAACATAAAATTTGTAAATGTTAACTAAAAGCTATTTAAACTTTTATCACCACTTTTTGATTCTCATAGATAAATTCATGTAATTATGTGGTATTTATACTATACATTTTCAAACATCATCCTGTAAACTTATTGAGCACCAGGAACGTAAAATATCCTTAGATCCTAGGTACCTCAGTGGTAGACAATAGTACTATTGCCTGGTATGCTGGGGTTTGACTTAGGTATAAGCAATGCTTTTATTTTTTAAGGTTAAATTTAAAAAAATTATATGCTGGAATAATTAAAAAATTATAACACTAGTTATTTAATTACATTATTATTCATTTTTATATTCAATCAACAAAGCTTTTATAGAATATTTCCAATCTTCTCTAGTAGATATACTTCTTCAGTCAACTTGTCCAGTCAAAGTTGATTTCTTTGAAATCAACAAAAATAGGTGGCATAATTAAATTAAACAAACCAATTTTTTTATTAGCAGCTCATAAAAAATGGAGCAAGTTAAATATTTTACCATATTACCAGTATATTACAAAAAAAACATTAGCATAAGTTTGTCAGAATAAAACACAATAAAATCATGCACGCCGTTTTATCTTGAGTAATGAATTTTCAATACCGAAATATTTGCCAAGCATTTCGTTTTTGAACTATTAATTTTTAATATAATTGCTAAATAATGCATTATAAATGTATGTTTAGGATTAGTGTTTACAGAGAAAAATTGATTTAAAAATTCATATATTATAAGATAAGATGATGTTTATGAGTTTTCGATTTTCATGTTTCCAATGTAGGCGGTGTATAGTGTTTTTCTGTAATTTGGCGTCGCTTGCGCTCACCTTAAGAACTTAAGTCATCGCATGATGAATAATGTGTGAAATAATGGAAGGGAGCGAAATGACAAAAAAAAATCTTGGCTTAATAATAATAACAGCATAATGGTAACAGCAGGTATATGGCGGCACACGGGGCTCGCGCGTGATGTGTAAAAGTTAGAACAGTTTTGACGTAGGTTTTTCTCCCCTGGCCTTTACCCTGCCTTTGCACACGATTCCTCCTCCTATCGGGTTCCCCCGGGGGGAAACTCACAGGGTCTCTCATAATCCATCATTATTATCAGCCAACTGCCACTCACTGCCAGCCCCGCCACCCCCCCGGACAACCGGAACCCATTGTTATTTTTACTTTTTTTTTATACTTTGTATGAGTGTTTCTCTCCACACTCTCCTACTACACACGCGGATAAAGGCATAACAACAATAGAGGCAGGGACATGTATAATGGAAGATTAAAATGTCCGGTCCACGCTCGCCCCTATGTACAACTCTACCCGCAAAGAATTTCTATCTACGTATTATATTGTCCAGTTTAATACAATAATAGATTATTCTCTCTCCACACCTCTTCCATTGGTGGACTAACTGAAACGGTTTTGTTGTAAGTACTAAAAGGTAAATAGTTTTGAGCTGTGCATTTAAAATCGCATTTTTCATCGCAGAGAACAGTTAAAATTATGTAATATTATACAATAATTTAAGTATAGTTACACAATGCATTGATGCGTTTGAAAATCGGATAATATACGAACAATTGTTTATTTTATAGGAATATTATAAATTATAATGATGGTGAATTATTTTAATGTAAACTGGTAAAAATGTGTATGTTGATTCAATCGAGTCTAATCTAAATAAAGTGGCAAACCTATTTATTTGAACAGTGTATACTTAAAATAATCTACACTTTTTAATTTTTATTACAATATTGGGAATTTATTAATTACTCCGTATAAATGAGTACAATTTATTTTGGAACAAAATCAGTAGTAATCAGTAGTAGTACTGTAGGAAGTCAATATAATACTAATAATTATTATACATAATAGTATAACTAAATATTAAAAAAAAAAGTTATTTAAACATAATTTTGTATTTTATAATATATATTTGTATTTTTTTCCCGGGTTTTTTTCACATTATACAATAATAACTAGGTATATCGTTTACTATTTAGAAAGAGATACATTATGGGACGTCGACAATAATTATAATAGAATATATTTAGACGTACCCAACAGAATAGTATTATGTTTTAATTACTTAAAATCACAGCAAATCGCAACCAACATCTGTTTATTATTCTTTTTTTCGCATGCAGTATACGTTTTTATCGAGTATGTATGTATATATACAGGATATTCCATTGAACATAACATACTAAATTTCTTTTGTAATTTTGTAGTTTTTATTTTTGAAAACATTTTTGTTTATTTTACAATTTTATAAAATGACAAAAATATTTACCTTTTTAAATTGTTTGAAGAGCGTTATCAACTTTAAAAATTTTGATTATAACTTCTATAATTAAATTAACATTTTACTAAACTATCTTTTTATTACATTTTTTATTGAGTTAACTATTTTAATCAGAATGATTAGATGAACATTTTTTCTGGTCGATAACCAGCTTGAATAATTGCTTTTAAAGTTATTAAATATTAAGATTTAAGATTTGAATGTAATTAGATAAGAATGATACTACATTTCACTCTTCTTCCCATCCTAAAGTTTAAACTATTATGACTTTAAATATAATTATTCAAAACTGGTTGCCAACCAGTAAAAATGTTTAGTAAGTTATTCATAATTTAAAAAGTGAATAACACATAATATGTATATTATACTTCAAAAAAATTTGAATATTGTCTAATATTGTAAAATAACATAACCTAAAATATCTCCAAAAAGAAAAACTACAAAATTGTAATTATTTCCAAATAAAATGAGTTCTTATGTAAAATTGATCACTTGTATTATGATATAATATATACATTACATATTATTTGAATTATAATTTTAAAATACGTTTTAAATAATAAATGACAAACTGTACTTAAAATGACAGAATTTTGTACATAACAAAAATATTGATAATGGAAATACATTTTATATACAGTAGACATAAATATAGGAACTAACAAATGCGAAGCAACTCGCTTTAACAGTTATTGATATTAAGCGCCGCCAACAGTTTACATAATATAATTTATTAATTAATAATTATTATTACATTATGTTTATTAAATGCAGGATAACTCACATAATACCATAAAGTGTCTTATCGTTCTAGATTTAATAACATTAACGAGTTTTACTTTTCTTAAGAACTGATAAACAGTCACCATGTATGTTGTTGTATAGGTAAAAAACAAATTGATATGCTTTAAATGTCCAGTAAACGTCTTAAATGTGAAGAAGCCGAAGTAAACTAAAAGGTTTTTCAGATTAGATAGCTTGCAGGCAATAATAGCTAATTTAAAATCCCAAAGAAAACTAAAATAATAACGTTTAGCTTCCAAATAATTCATGTTATAAAATGTTATAACAGATATCATAAAATAATAACGTTTTGTATGAAACTCATGATATGTTATATTATTGTTTTTTGAATATAAAATATTTTAGCAACTATTGGTTACTTACAATATTGTTACATAATAATATTATGTTGTTATGAAATGTTTAAAAGGTTTATTATAATAATAATCTGGTAACTTTCTTTTATATATTATTTCAACGCAAACCTGGCTTTATAGAAACCTTGAAATTCATCCCACATCATCGAAAGCCAAATTTCCAATAGGTACAAAGTGTATTTTTTCGATTAAAGTTTCTACAATATTGGTAACCTAAATTTTACATTAAACAAATTTAAAAGTGTAATCGATTCCCTTGTGAGGCCTCTAAAGTCCATTGAACTAGGGCACGTGACTTTTTCCTCGATTTTAATCCATTTTTTTTCATCTTGTACCTATACTTAAATTACTTTTGTTTCAACGTACTTCAGATGAGCTCTACAAGATACGGTCGGGGTATCAGGATAAGGTTTATGTTAAAGAATATGGTTCAGCGAGTTTGAAAATGGATTATTGGGATTGGTTTTATAATACCTGTTTTTTAAGACTGGTAGTCGCTTCGCTTACGTTTTTTATTCATAAAACTCAGTAGTTGCTACTTGAAATAAACGATTTTTGTAATAATAATACGAATAATAAATTATATAATATCTACCTAGTAATCATTCAATTTTTGGTGCCCCTGCTGGCTGCGCGCGATGATATTATATCATTTAAATCACAATAAAATATATTATGTTTGACTTAGACTCGGGGTTGGTTTTTGTTTGTACTTTTTATACATTTGAAGCGGTCGGCGAGTTGCTTGTGCTGCTTGTGCCGCTTAAGTGCATGTCCTGTTGGTGTTGTTGAGCCACCGGCAGCAGTCCTTCGCGCTGACGCTTTTTCTGTTTCATTCTTCTATTTTGAAACCATATTTTCACCTGAGTCTCGTTCAGCTGGAGGGCAGACGCAATCTCTATTCGTCTGGCTCGGGTCAGGTACCGGTTGAAGTGAAACTCCTTTTCCAGCTCTGTTAGCTGTTTGTTGGTGAAGTTTGTCCGGCCCGTGTTGTTCATCAGCATTAGAGCCGAGTTATTGTTGATCACTTGTGATCGGGTCACCGGTGATTGGTTCAGCATATTATGCTGTTGACTGTTTCTAACATCCGACATAAGTCCCTGGCCGGGCATGATCGAGGTAGCGGTGCCGCCAAACGTCGTGTTCTGAGTTTGGTGGTGGTAGTCGGGTTTCAAAACTATAGAAAAACAAAAAAAAAAAATGTTTTAATTAGTACACAACATTTTGAGACATTAAAAAAACGTTACGAAGTAAAAAGCTCATGAAGTTGGACAGCTAAGTAGTTTGAGACAGGTTCACCCTATTATGTTGTTATAACGTATTATACGGTATTATTAATCTGTCAGAAATAAAGATACAAAGTATAGAATGAAAACTTTTTATTTTTTTTGCGTAGATGAGAATATCACAAAAAAAGTTCCGTCTCAGGGGCAGATAATTCATATATATCTATATGCTTAGTTGCGATGAAAGCCTAGTGACAAATTAGAATTACATTTTACCTAATATATATATACACAATGACACACGAGCCAAGTAAGTAGAGTGTATTCGAAAAGTTTTCCTAGCAACCGAATTAGCGTCCTAAATGGTATACTCGCAGTCTCTGATTTTCGTGAGATGCTCGAAAAGCTCTACAAATATTTTTAGGATAAAGCTAATCTGTTTTACCCTAAAACTAAGTGACCGATGGAAAAACTCTGATAAATCATTTAGAACGGACATAATCTAATACGTCTCTGCACTCAGATAAAAAAGACGGATAGCCCGTCTTAATTTATTTTTTTAGTTACTACGTTTCATATGAGCGTAAGAACTAAAAAGTCAGTAGTATTATCATTACATAATACATTAATCAGTAATAAACTGAGGCCGACTCATTTGGTAGAGGTATTTTTTTTTTTACTTGTGACAAGTAACAACAATTACTTTAATGATAAAATATGACGCCAATATCTTATCAGGAGTTGTGTGAAATAAAATAAAATCATCGCTAGACCTAGTATGGCCGAGACTCGTACTGGGAACGATACAGTTTGCTATTCTAGGTCACTTCAGAAAAGCTACTTACGTTCGTGATATAAGCAAATTTGTGATACAACTAGACGTTTGTAGCAAACATAACTATTAAGCCAGTAACTTGAAAATAGCGCCAACCATCAATGGTAATATTGTCTTTGAAGTGTTGTACGGCGTGTATACTTTTTCTGTTACTATTTACTATTAGCAAATTTGGGAGAAGCGAAAAATTCCCGGTTGTGGCTCACTGTGCTGGTCGGATAATCCGGCCATGACGACCGACACTACACCATACTTTATTCAAATATATTATAACATTTCACAGTGCAATTCAAATTTCAAATACTAAAGCAAAGAAAATACTTAACTATTTTATTCATAAAACTCAATTTTATTATAAAAATACTAATTTAATTAATATTATGTTTTTGAAGTAACTGTGTTGGTCGTTTCGATTTAATGTATTTTTCTTGTATACTATCTTTGAACGAAGCTATTTCCTTTGAGATTATACAGATAACGATTTTTCTAGATCATGCAGGATGTGTCGCAAGTTTTCGGCCCGTCTTAAGGTCATATAGGAAGCACAGCGCGCGCGGCTATCATAATATTAAGAGAATCAATGTCAGACTATTGGATTAGTATCTTATTATATTGGAACGCCGGGTTCATTACAATACTGGAAACGACTGTAAAGCGTGACCACAAAGCGAGAATGGTCAAACCTGTCAAACGGTACACGATTTTCACATTATTCAATTGACAGTCCGGTGGTAGTGTAAGAAGCTAACGCCGGTCGGTAGACGTCGTATAATGTTGGACAGATTATAAATAAAAAATATTCGGCGCCATCGGCCGGCATAAGGATTCAACTGTTGTAACTGTGGTCGAGAGTAAAATAATAATACAACTCGGATTAATGCTTGATTTTCGTTGTACAAGTCATGTAGGAAATTTAATGTATGCGTTTATGATACAAGAATGTACACGCATATAATTATTATTAATTCAATAATTGCCAAACTTGGAAATATATATATATTATATTTTTCACGCATTTCCCATTTCTGGAAAGAGTTCAAAATATTATTATGTATTTATTTGGAATTTCGATTTTTTAATAGTGTTAAAGCATTGAGTGGTTCTTAGTTACACAATAATTATTATTGCTTTATGATATTGTATTTTCAACTTAATATATTATTTATCTTAAATCTCTCTGCTTACAATATTTATCATTTGTCATTATGCCAATATGCAATGCACAAAACCCTAAAATAATGGCCGCATTATTTATAGATATGCGCCGGAACTATGATGTGGGTGACTTGGGTTTTATAACCAAGTCCTCTTAGGAAATTTTCCTTCATTATGGACCTCCATAACTTTCCTCTGTCGCAAAACTTATAAAAATAGATCGCAGTTTCTTTGTAAATTATAAAACCAATAATAAATTGTACTCTACGTCCTATCAGTTTTGTATTCATATTGCCAATGAAAATTTGACTTGACTGTAGTGATGTATTATTTTGTAGTTAACAAAACTCAAATGTCCACAGTTATTTAATAAAAATACACTATTTTTTATGGAATCATGGTTATAAGTAATAACTTAAATTATGTATTAATTTTACAAAATATGTTTAACATTAAAATAATAAAATACATACTATCTGAACTCATTTTCAGTGTAAATATACTATCGCAACGGTGGAATAATATATCCGATAACCATATATGTGTCACCAGAATTCTCGTGGGAATTGTGTACACTCACAATCAGACACCCTTAGTTGATACGTGTGTTCCAAATAAAAGTTAAAAGAAAGCATACATGATGCTTGGGGGATTGTTGTCCTTTAATATCCCCCGTCTGTGATTGATGACTGGGTGGACAGATACTAAAATGCGTCCTCAGGCTAATAACTGTGCGTGTGCGTTTCTACATTTTACTGTTTTCAAATTACAAAATGAATCTCAACGTTCTGTCATCAAGAAATCATTTAAAAACGCGTATCTATTTTTATGTGTATATTATTAGTATAACAAAAACTATTAAGGCTCTAGCATTGTAGAATTTATATCAAAAACATAACAAAAAAAGGAATATTACATAATATATTAAACTGAATGATTATTCATTTACACTACTGTATTCGTTTATATTTTTTAGTGTTTTCGAGTACTTTTAAGTTTAGCGCTCGCTGATGTTTATGTATTAATAATCAAAACTCAATTATGATGTAACAAATTATTACAACTTGTATTTACTCCATATGAATGAATTTCACATGATACTTCAATCCATGAAAGTTTCAACACATTTGTATTTGTGTTTTATTATTTATTTTTAACTTAAACATTATTAACTGTTAAGAACTTTGCATTATTATCCTGTGACATTAAGAATAATAAAACTATGTTTATTTTCAGAAATAGTAATTCCTTCAGATTTAAATAATTTCATGCTTAATAAGTTAAAATCAGGTTCTAAAACCAAAACGACTTTATTGTATACTTCTTACTTATCAAAACATTTAGTTATGAGCGGGTTTTTTTAGTTAAACATTCACGTATACAATTTTTTAGATATTATGTAATTGATGAGAATGTATGTGATAGTAATTTTTGTAAAAGTCAAAAGAAAATGTTTAAAATTGCGATAACTGTTTAGAATGTACAGATATTATGAAAAATTCACTTTATCTTGATACCGCCTTTAAGGTAACGGTCAATCAATCGCACGCTGTAATATGTGTATAAGGTAAATACATACTTATATATAATAAGTTGCACCACAAGCCGCTGTTAATATAATACTATGTAAATTTAATTATTTTAATGGCCTACTTTAGGTATATTACTTGCGCACATGTCTACCCTCGACGATACGGTTTATCCTTGTGGGTTTCATATAAAAACGTTAGACGGCAAAAACACGGACAAATTTCGGGATGAAGGCTGATGTTGCCCTTAAATGAAACGAACGTGTCTCATAAACACAGGCGTTAATAACGTCGAATTAAAGTTAAGTTGACACGCAATACATCACAACCCTTTTTGAAGGAGGAGGATGGGGGTATCTGTTTCTGCGTCCCCGGTCCCAGCTCACACCTCCGCTCTATATCCGTCAAATAATCAACCGGAACCCTTTTCCTCGACGCCCACTTGATCTTATTTCTTTCATTTTCGTTAATATCACCGCCCCTCTTACAAAACGACCAATTCACCAAATCGCCTCTGCGTAGATCCCTCAAAATAGCCGTTCGTCACGAATTTACATTGTTAACTGTCTCAACGATCACAATAATACCATGTTTGATAAAAGCAAACGGCGAGTGCCGAGTATTACCAGAATATCACAACAGTTGTCTTAGAAGTTGAAAGTATAAGTACTATGTATCAAAATAGCTTCATTTCTCTCAGAAAAAGCCGCATACATGTGCCACACATACATGGCGTTAATTATAATTAGAACTATCCGTCTTTAGAATTTTTTTGGTTATAGAATCATATTTTTAGATTTAAACACGGTCAAAAGACTATTAAACGTAGTAAATAATTATAAAAAAGTTAAACTACAAATAAAACGAGTTTACAATAATTTAAAATGTATTTAATTTTTCAATCTGGACAGACTATGAGTTTAAAAAAAAACCGTTTTAAGTGAAAACAGATTAATCAAGAGTAATATGATACTTTGGAGTTAGGTGAGGCGTCACTAACCCCCTAATGACATAAATACGAGATAGAGAATGAGACTCCATAAATGTTTTTCATAATTGATATTGTGCATCTTTATTTACATTTTGTGATAAGTAAAAAACAATTAACTAGTCGTAGGGAATTTATCGTAATTTCGAAGATCTAAAGTGGTCGGTATGGTCCAGTTAATAGTTAATGGTCATACGGGTCAAGAGTTAACATAGTGGCGTGTGACTTACTGAAATAATCAATTTCAATGATTAAAAAATCACCATAGGACATAATTACCCAATAAACTTTTAAAGAAAATCAAGAGTATTATTATTTTTTTTAGAAATTGCATCGTAAAACAAGTACAATTAATTACTTCGGATAAAACATTACATTTTGTATTCCGTAGAATACAGAATAAAACGTTTGCAATGAAAATATTAAAAACTATTCAACTTTGTG